TCCTTTGGGTATTAAATAGATTTGCTTCCAAAGAAGCCAGCGTTCCTGACAGTGCCTGTCCCACACACTCCTACAGGAGGTCTGCAGCGCTGAACTGGTCTGACCCATGGAAATGCTTCCTACATCTCTCATCCTTCCTTCGGTTCTCCTTTAATTTTCAGAATTTGCTGAAAATTGGTCTGGCACTTGCTTATCTTTCTTTTCATGTGAGTTCTTGGCCTTCCTTTCTTATATTAAAACCATATTAAGGCTGGGATATGAACCATGCAAGTCAGGAAGCCAAAGATGTTAGGCTGTTTTGGAGACATATACTCAGTCAACACTGCTTTTGTTTTTTGTTTGTTTGTTTGTTTGTTTTGGGTTTTTTAATATATATTTCTTGATGTCTTTGCTAGTAACATTGATAAGAGATGGATTTCAGCCTGGAGCTAAATGCACCTACGCAGTTGGCAGGCAGTATCTTTTCAGGGTATCCTAACTATTTGGGACTTCATCAATTTTTATCATCAAATTCATACAGAGTTCTGCTAAAATATTAACACCTTTAGGTTGTGCACATGCTTCCGTTCTCTTTCCTTTTTACAGCAATACAGTAGCAGTGCTGTACAACATGATTCAAGGGTCTTTCCGTTCATCCTTTGCATCCTTTTGGGTTCAAAAGCACATTAGCTCTTTCTCTGTGGTCAGAAAGGATGAATATTGCACAAGAGACTGTGACACTTCATTTACTTCTGGAAAGAGAAATTAAAAAAAATGATCCTTATTGCTGTACTGCTGCCATGCCAGAAGACACAAGTTCTTGACACATGGGACCATCTCTAACTACTTCTTGCTGTGGCACAGGAGGTGACATGGGACAACAGCATCCTGCTTTAGGTTGTGGTCTGCAGAGACTGGCCAAGATCTCTTAACACCTTCAAATCTGAAGCGAGTCACCTTCTGAAAGATGTAATTCAGCCAAACACAAGTTATGCCCACCTCAGTGCAGACATAAGGAGGTGAAACACTCTGTACTGTTTTGTACTGCACAGCAACCCATGCAGCGCTGATAGCTTGCAAATCCTAATAAGGTTATTTCAGGAAAACTGCAAAAACCAGCATTTCCAGAAGCGTCAAAGCTTTTTATCTGGCTTTCTCACATTGCAGGTCACCTTCGGGTCCCCATTTCACACCTTCTCAGTGCCATCTTCATCCTTATCCACCCACGCAGCCGCCTGCGTTTCCAAAGCAGTCGCTGCCCCCTCACAGCGTAGCAAGGGCTGCAAGTCCCCTTTCTTCCTCACAACCGTGTGACCCGCGTGGGGACTGAGGTCCGCGGCGCTTGTCCTCCTCACCGCCGGCCTCCAGGCCAACCCAGGGGGCTGGTACTCTCCTGCCTGCCTCGCTTGGAAATTCAGCCAGACAGTCACAGTATATCAAGAGGAATAAACACAATTTGACCCACCAGGCTTTCCCTGCCTCCTGTTATGCGAATATTCACAGACCAGCAGCCCTAGACACCTCCACAGAGTGCTGACCAGTGTCTCGATGCTGCTTTCACTACGGGCGCCATCTTGGTGAGAGACCAAGCCCTTCCCCTCGGCTGCCGCGCTCAGGGGCACTTGCTGCTCAGGGGCCACCAACGCCGCTGCCCACAGACACGGCTCGGGCCACTCATCCTCCCACCGTTACTCCCGGGCGTTACGCCGGGGAAGCGCAAAGTGCCCGGAGCGGGCG